GAGTGAGGCTGAAGAAGGTTAAAACCCATTTATAATAGGGCTGCAAATGCGCTCAAGCTCCCACATCTTATGCTTCAACTCGTCAACCCCAGCCCGCATCCAATTCCCCTCCACCCACATAATAACCCATGTTGCCTCCTCCTCCACCCTTCTCCTGTCGGCCATCGGCAGCCAGACGGCAGCCCTGGCCGCGCTCCTCACGCTGTATGCATAATTCTCGAGGTTGTTTCTAGCTTCGCCCCTCCTCCTGTACTCCTCGTCCTCCCGCCTGTACCTCTCTGCATCCCGCACTATTCTCTCAATCTCCTCTCTCGATGCCCTACCTTCTTCGTTGGTTATAGTGATCTTGTTCGTGCTTCCATTGAACCTCTCCTTAGCCGACACGCTCAATATCCCGTTGACATCGATTTCGAACAACACGTCAATCCTTGCCGCCCCCCGAAGGGCCGGTGGGACTCCCATCAGCGTGAACTGCCCGAGCAGGTTGTTTTCCGTCGACCTCGCCCGCTCCCCCTCGTAGACCTTGAAGCCCACAGAAGTCTGGTTGTCATAAACCGTCGTGACCCATTTCTCCTTCCGAGCAGGGATGGGCGTGTTGCGAGGGACCACAACAAACATGACTTCCCCTTCTGTCTCGATACCGAGGGAGAGTGGGGTCACATCGCAAAGGACAAGGTCCCGCACCTTGTTGTCCCCCACGCCGGTGAGGACGGCCGCCTGCACGGCGGCTCCATACGCAACTGCCTCGTCCGGGTTGATGCTCCTACAGAGCTCCTTCCCGTTGAAAAAACACTGAAGCAGATTCTGAACCTTGGGGATCCTAGTCGAGCCTCCAACTAGGACTACATCGTGGACCGCGGCCTTGTCCATCCCAGCAGTCCTGAGGCAGCTCTCGACTGGCTCGATGCACTTTTGGAAAAGGTCCATGTTGAGATCCTCGAATTTCGCACGGGTGATACTGGAGTGGAAATCGATGCTGTCGTGCAGGAACTCAACGTCCACAGTGGCATGAGTGTTGGTGGAGAGAATCCTCTTCGCCCTCTCGCCGGCGGTCCTCAGCCTCCGCAGGGCTCGGGGGTTTCCCGAAATATCCTTTTTGTGCTTTCGCTTGAACTCGGCCGCAAAGTGGGCAACTATTCGGTTGTCGAAATCCTCCCCTCCGAGGTGGGTGTCGCCCGCGGTGGCCTTCACCACGAACGTACCGTCATTGATTGTGAGGAGTGAGACATCGAAGGTGCCGCCGCCTAGGTCGAAAACAAGCACGTTCTTCGCACCTCCCCAGGCAGCGTTTGCCCTTTGATTGAGGCCGTAGGCAATGGCGGCGGCTGTGGGCTCGTTGATGATGCGGATGACGTTGAGGCCGGCGATTGCGCCGGCGTCTTTGGTGGCCTGACGCTGGGAGTCACTGAAGAAGGCGGGGACCGTGATGACAACATCTCGGGAAGGGGTGGGACCGAGGAATGAATTGGCGATGTCGGCCATCTTGGTGAGGACCATGGATGATATCTCCTCAGGGGATAACTGCTTCTCTATGCCCTTGTGGGAGACCACAATCATGGGCTTGTTGGTCGGTCCAGGGACCACCTTGAACGGCCACAGCTTCATGTCTGTCTGGACCGAGCTGTCGCTGTATCGTCTCCCGATCAGCCGCTTCGCATCTGCGTCGTCATGATTCAACACAACATTAATTAAAAATTTAACATAATTCAAGTTGTTATGATTCATACATTTACACTTGTTTACCAAAGACGGTGTTGACGGAGTTGACGCCGGCCTGGTTCTTGGCGGCTTCGCCTATGAGACGCTCGGAGTCGGTGAACGCGACGTAAGAGGGCGTAGTGCGATTGCCTTGATCGTTGGCTATGATCTCAACGTGGTCGTTCTGCCACACGCCGACGCATGAATACGTGGTTCCCAAGTCGATCCCGATTGCAGGTCCTTTTGCAGCCAATCGTGGCACAACAATATCAGAAGACTTGGAATCATCGAGAGCCAATCGCGGCACAAGAGCCTTGGAATCATCGGGTGTAGTGCTCCGGGTTCCACGCTTGGAGGAGCGACCAGATGAGGAATTCGCAGGCTTACGCTTTTTTGAAGTTTTGCCGCCCGCCATGGATGAATTTGAAGCAGATGGTGAAAAATATGGGATAGCTAGCGTGTGGCAGTATATAATGGAGTTAGAATCATCAAGGGTTTTATAAATGGACTAAACTAGTACAAAAATATTAAATGGGCCAAGTCTAATTGGGTTTTTGTTTAGTTAGCCTAAAAATTAATTGAGTTAGAACTTAGAATCGTCTACTTTCTGCATTTAAATCTGGAAGATTTGGGCTAAATATTCGTGCATCATGATCTACAAGGCATGGAGATTTAGTTTCCAAAGTTGAGCGAGAAGATCAAGTAAACTGGGAAACCCCAGATTAAATTTGATGAACCTAAATACCGCATATAGTTGTATGTATATTAGTTTCACGAGTTCTCGTTAAAAGAACGAGTCATTCCATTATTCATTCACAGAGTTTAGAGTTTTATTTATTGAAAGCTCGTGAGTATTTTAATATATTTTTATAGAATGTATCCGATTACAGCATGAAGGTTCACCGTTGGTAGTTCGAGCTGTCAGTTTTGTTTTCGTTTATACTTGATGCTTGGGACGAGCATCTTGCGTGTATTGTAAGTCCACGCCGTGGCCAGAAAAGTAATTAGGTAGGTGGAGTACAATGTATGTTAGCTTAAAGGGAGTCTATGCGTGTAAATCCTATTTGTACTTGTTGGTCAAACACTTACTTAATGAAAGAGTTCTGAGAGGTAGTGAGACGGTCTCATGAAAGTTCGTTTTTATTTATTCGCTTCAGCAAATTTTACATAAACGTTCATTATTTTTAGTACAAGTGCGAATTTGTGTACTCCCTCAAAATTTTACTCTTAAATTTTGGATTTTTTTAGTGAATAAGCTGGGAGAGTTCATCTTTCTATATTTATTAACTTAATCAGTAATCTCTGTTCCCTAGTCATTATTTTTGGTAGAGTTCGATATTACATGTAACTGCAATACAGTTACATTTTTTTGTCTTTGATTTCACACACACCCACATGGGTGTGTATGTATATGTAAATCAAGAGCAAAAAACATGTAAATGAACTGCACTTACATGTAGCATTGAAATTCTCATATTTTTGTTTGTTTTTGACTTCTTTTGTTTGATACCTTTCATGTTTCTTGGGGTGTGTGTGCCATTTGTACTTATCTCAAGAATTTTAGTATAGAAGGAGATTGAAAGATACAACACAACAACAAAATGTATAATTCAGAACATAATTGCATAATTTAAATTACGATAACATGAAAATTTACTCATAATTATTGCACTTCGTAATGCATTAATTGATCATTTGTGGGGAAAAATATTCTAATCTAGACGATTAGATGTGTTGTATTTGTACCTATTTTTTTTTTTTTGTTTATTTTTATTATCTAATGCTACTATGTAATTTGTATTTCTACTGCAAAAATTTATGTAAATAGACCTATGTTTTTTGTTATAGAATTGAATAATATTTTTTTATATTATTTACGATTTCACTTAATACAATTACTATTATATGTAATTATATTTTTAATTATATAATAAGAATTTTGTTAAATATGTACCTCTAAATTAATTCAAAATAAAAAAAAAAATCATAAGACAATATTACATTAAAGTAAACGGTTGAACATAAAATATCAACTCTACTCTAAAGTTAATTAAACGACTGAAGATGTTCTTAGAGCAACTTTGCGATACTTTAAAGTTGAGTTTATGTACTCTATAGTAGAGTAAATCAAAATTCAAGTTTTATCTCCAGTCATTTGCGCTACATTTTACTCTTCATTAAATATATTTTTTATTCATTTTTATTTCAAATAAATTCTAATATATATGTATATTTAATCTTATATAAATTTTTGTTACTCAAATAATAAAAATATGTTTTGTATTAACAACACGGGACTGTAATATTTTTTATTTATGTTTGACGTAACTTTTCATTTTAGTGAAATCTACTTGTTTCGGTAAATTTTTATTCATATGTTACTATGACATTAAAAAAAAAAAATACAAAATCAAATTGTAATACATCAATAAGAAGATTGAATAATGTGGGCTTTGTTTATTAAAAAAAAAATCATTTATTCGTATTATATCATAAATCCCAAAAATGTGAACTTGTTGAGATTTTTAAGCCCATTTGAGTATAATTAAGATTTTTAATTTGAGTATATATAATACAATTTTGCTATGAAGCCAACAGTTGACCACAAATTTTGTGTATCAACAACACTCTTGGAAAGAGAATACATATGCAAAAATATTTATATTATTTCACAAATCAAATAATATACATATATTTTTACAACTAAATCATGAACACAACAGAACATCACCAATAAAAATTAAACATATGCAAAATCAACCTAAGTAGAACAAAACATAGGATAAATGTAATACGACTATGTAGAACCATCTCATAGATGTAGATGTAGTTGGG